AATGAAAAAAATAATAGAAAAATACATACCGGCCTGACAGCTTCCTTATCAGCGAAAACGCTTGCGATGGCGTGACGAAGAGTTTGACGGCAGTTTACGGTGGATCTAAAAACATTGACGAAGGTCGCGAATGATGAATTCGGTATATGAATTCGGTGCGTATTCTTCAATAACTGTATTATCTTCCAAAATTAAATGTTTCAAGGTCATCAGTAATGCTACATACTACAAACTATATATAATAGCTAAACGTATATTCGATCTGTATGCTTGCTCACATAAAATTAAATTTTTTTTTTTTCAGTTTGGATGTGTGGATTAAAACTTGATATCTTCAATTCTAAAACCATGGTAAGTTATCATTTTATCTAAAAGCTTAAATTACCATACATATATCAAATATATAAACATTTCTTTATGTTATAAGTTAGCGCCATATTGATTATAGGATCCCAAATTTGATTATAGAAATATAATTTTTTTTTTTTTTTNAATAAAAAAAAATGAAAAAAATAATAGAAAAATACATACCGGCCTGACGGCTTCCTTATCAGCGAAAACGTTTGCGATGGCGTGACGGAGAGTTTGACGGCAGTTTACGGTGGCTCTAAAAACATTGACGAAGGTCGCGAATGATGAATGTTGGCTTTTATATGAGTAATCTGGTGTGATAAGGACTAGTATTGTAGAATGAGTTCAGATATAAGGACACATAATGTTACGCCACGTGAAAGAGATATTTGCAGTCTATTTTTTCGTTATTAACGTTGTGGGTTTTTTTTAGTCCCAATCTTTCAAAAAGTAATATTTTAGTCCCAAGAACTACCTGACCTGACCTTCAGGAACAACTAAGTTATAAATTTAATAATTTAAAACAATTGTTGTCCTTCTCTTGACTTGAGGACAACTATTCACGTCCGTGTGTCCGTAAAAATTAAAGAACAATGCTACAGTTATCGAAAAATGCGTATCGGATTCATGCATCGAATGACGTGACGTCATCTTGTTTTCTTAAAAAAAAATTCATAATTAATTGATGGTCAAGATGGCGCTACGTCATTCAGTGCATGAATTCAGTGCGCATTCTTCGGCAACTGTATTATTTTCCAAAATTAAATGTTTCAAGGTCATCAGTAATGCTGCATACTATAAACTATATATAATAGCTAAACGTATAGTCGATCTGTATGCCTGCTCACATAAAATTAAATCTTTTTTTTTTTTTTTCAGTTTGGATGTGTGGATTAAAACTTGATATCTTCATTTCTAATACCATGTTAAGTTATCATTTCACCTAAAAGCTTAAATTAATGGGTTTTTATAAAATAGTTTATATATCTAATATTATTCTTTTACTCATAATAGAAATTATTTTACAATCATGACATGTGTTGACATTAGAGTGAAGATATGCGCAATTAATGGAGGATTTTATATGGTATTATTAAAGTATGATTAGCTGAAAATATAACATTCCCTTCTATGTAAGTCATGTAATTATTTCTTTTATTTCATTCCTTATAAGCTACATTTCTTCTTGTATAAATTAGCATAAACTATACATATATCAAATATATAAACATTTCTTTATGTTATAAGTTAGCGCCATATTGATTATAGGATCCCAACTTTGATTATAGAAATATAATTTTTTTTTTTTTTTAATCAGGTATATGAATTTCATTTAAGATGAATCTTTAACAAGATTCGCAGAACGTAAATAGATTTATATATATTTATGTGTTTGTACCAAAACACAATGTTCAATAAAATAGTAAAGCAGTTATTAGATTGGCTGGGTTAGTAAGAAGACGGAGACTTTCATTAAATAGTTGAATTNAAGAAATAAGGTTTTTCTAGTAGTGAGGATTGAAGCTCTTCGCTAATATGATGTTGGCATCAATGATTGTGAACAAATTGTTTGAAACTTTGGGAAATTTGATGGATGTAAGATCTATAAGGAGAGATGAAGAAATATTAACGGTAATTTGATTGGAAGAGATATCTAATTGTTGAAGTAAAGATTAATTTGTAAAGCAGGGAGGCAAGGTAACCCTTATATCATTATAGTCTAACTTCAGGGGAACTATTTTAATTACCCCTTTTATGATGAAGGGCTATGAGGATTCAAACCAATATATCCATCTTCACGTCCGGTTTTAACAATTTGCAGTTTAAAGCTTCGAGATGAATGAAAATATGGACAATGCAATAATTTGAACAGATTGAATCCTTATTGAAGCTGGCATCCATTTGTAAAGTGTTTACCCATTAGTTATGAAAATGGATCACTAAAGTAAGAGAAGTTATCTCTTTGTGGAAGCATCAATCATATATAGTTCAATTGAAGTGGCATTAAACTTATAAGTGTTAAGCACCTCTTGTGGCATTATGGAGTGAAGGATGGATTTAGGAGTTAAGAGACTAAGAGGTCTTGGATTCAAATTGTAGCAAGGGCAAGAGATGGCCACCAATTATTATACCCACAAAAAACTTATAAAGTGTTTGAAATCCAAATTTTCCACAAGTAATGAGAAAATTGGAAAATGCTCCAGATCAAATGCTCGAACAACAGAAAGAACTTGTTTTCTCTAGCTAGTATGCATAATTTTTCTAGCTAGTAAAGAAGACGTTATTGGTGGAAAAGTAATGATTTGAGTTATTGAAGTTTGTCCTGAACGAAGATCTGTAGCATGAAGCACTTCTTTTTTGTATAGTATATAGCTTAGGGTGTCCCTTAACTAGTTAGATGTGTTTTGGCTTGAAAAGTCCGAAGGTAAAACTGTGAAGAATATTGGGGGTCCAAATCTAACAAGTGGAACTCTGGTTTGCTACAAAGAACGTATATAATAATGCAAACTTTATTATTTGTCTACCACCTAATATGAGAGTAATTAGTTGCATTTTTGATTGGTTAAAATTGGATTATGAAAGGCTATATCTTTTTAATGGAAGATTTAATTTCTATCAGCAACCATTGATCTTGACTTGTAAAAATCAACCAAAGACCTGATGGTCTATACTTTCTAATGGTAGCCTCAAGTTTCGTTAGTCATCCGTTAGTTACTTAAATAAAACACTGCGTTTTGTTTATACTCTTTTGAAGAATAAGCTGCTCATGAAGATCGGAAGTACAAAAAGAAAAGCTGGGAGATGATCAGGTTGTAGACTGTTTAAAGGCATTTATCATTTGTGTTTGATTAGGTGGCCATCTTGTACTCAAGGTCATGTATATAAACAATTGGCTCATGTATATTATTTGTGCTTGACTTTCAGCTTCTCAGAGTGAATTTTTCTTGCTGAATTTGCTTTGGCGTTGCTGTGAGTGAATTTTGCTGGATAAATTCCAGACAGTGTTGCCAGCACTGAATTTATGGTGGTGATGAACGGTNGTTTGGGAACTGGGAAAGAAAAAGCTGAATGAGAAAAGACGAAAGCTAACTTTTCAGTTTTTAACCTTTTATTTATTTTTTTAATCTTCCAAAAAAAATAAAAAAAAAACTTTGCAATTTTTTTTTAAAATCTGAGGGCAGGCCTGGGCCTACCCTCAAGGGGCCTGGGTCCGCCCCTGCTACCATGGGCAACATTTGGAGCATAGCCCCTTCAATTGTGTATAGAGATGGGACTGAATGTGTTGCTGAATCAACCAGATTGGGGCATTGATTCAATATCTACATGAGGCATGTTAGAAAGTGAAGCAAACAGATGGCACCAAGATTCAAAAATCTATAGAATCACTGAAGTACAGGTTGAAGAAAGTATAGATTGAATAAAGTAATAATTAAAACTCATTGATGATTTCAAAAAGTTTCGTAAATTGATGATGAGAGATTCTTATGTACAAATTGAATATAGGCAGGATTAATTGTATTATCATGGGTGTTCAAGTTTCAAGCAAAATATAAATATTTATTAATAATAATTTTCATTCCTTAATAGTCTTAAAACTGTCAATAATTTTTTTTGTAAATTTTTTTTAAAATATTTTTATTTTGTAATTAGTTTATTTTCTTGATTATTACCAATTAAATAATGGAATAATATAATGAAATTCTTCATAATATTCCTCAACCAACAACAATTATCACAATTCAATAATAAATTTAAACATTCAACAATCTCTCAATTAATTTAACCTGTCGATTGTTAAATAGTAAAAAATTAACCCAAACACAAGAATTATGCCTTGTACAACAGTTCTTGAAATGAAAAAGCATAAGTGAACAAGTTGTATGGCAAACATGCAAGCCATACAGCTCCTACGGTCCTACCTAATAATCAGCTAATCACCAGTGAGGCTTTCGTAATCATACTACGGGCTACATAAAATAATGCACAAGATCTAGGAGTTATTTTCAAATTATACTTTTGTATACATGTATGTAGTTTAATGTATCTCCCACTACTATGTTTAATATACCACTAGTAGCACTATACATCCCAAGTTTGTATTCCAAGTGATATGGCCTTATTTTTAGAAATAGATACCATTGATCACATAATAACATGATCCACAAACACCACCAAAATAATGACAATATTAAGAATGCAAAACTAGGGTATATGATCTGCTTCAACATACAGAGCAGCAACCACACCAATAAGTGAACACGAAAGGACAAGTGCATAAACATCAATCAGTGTATCCAAATAAATCACTAGCTAATATCAGTACTAAAAACTCTAAAATCTATAATCTACTAAAGGTCAAACATGGAGGAAATATAAACTAATTCAATAAAAGATCAAGTTCAAAAGTCTTCTTATGCCCCAACACTTTTAGGAAGGCTATTAAACAATTCATGTCATTTCGGAAGAAGGTAAGTTAGAATCTAACATTTTCTCTGATACCTATTCCTGTCTCCAACAAAAATGTAGTATATAGATATGCAGGTCACTTATAAACAATTAATAGGGATATGTTGCAATTCTTTGTCATNATAAATAGCAGGCTATTTTCAGTACTAAAAAGTCTAAAATCTATAATCTACTAAAGGTCAAACATGGAGGAAATATAAACTAATTCAATAAAAGATCAAGTGCAAAAGTCTTCTTACTCCCCAACGCTTTTGGGAAGGCTATTAAACAAAAATTCATGTCATTTCGGAAGACGTTAAGTTAGAATCTAACATTTTCTCTAATACCTATTCCTGTCTCCAACAAAAAATGTAGTATATAGATATGCAGGTCACTTGTAAACAATTAATAGCGATATGTTGCAATTCTTTGTCATAATTTATAAAAGAGAAGACCATAGACATTAACCTGCTGCATCAGGACATTGTTGTCCCCTTCAAAAGTAGATTGCACATCAAATTCACTTTTCAAATGACCAAAATGATTTTCAGTCTTCAGGCCTTGTCCTCCACATGCTTCACGGCATTCCTAAAAGAACAGTAGTCTGAATCAGACCACTTAACATGAATGTAAATAATCTATGTGTAGTTGCAGTCCCTGACCTGTAGTGTTCGCTGATTGTGCCAGGTAAAAGTAGCCTTGAATGCACTTGAAATAACATGAATGGTTTTGTTTGACTGAGGTGTCCTATTCACATATATCATCTTCATGTGGTTTGCAGCAGAACTCATAGCATATCTGTTGCAGAATCAAGAATGGGGAGGAAAGGGGGAGGATAGCAGCAGAAATAACACACCAGTTTATTAGTTAAGATCATCAACAGATAGGTCCAGTATAATTACTTCTATTCAAATAACACATATTACCGAAGCAATCAGGATAATATATGAGGATCCACTAAGTGAAAAATATAGACACTTTCAGTAGAATCAAACTCTCTACTTACTTTGCAAACAGATAATTAGTCAATTTGGAAAATTTTGTAGATGTGTCAACACCAGCAAATCCAGTACTATATATACTTAGTTCATACCAGATATTATAAATGTAAGGGAAGAGAAGGGAGAAAAAACTTTAATACCAAAGTTTCAATAAAATTTAATTTTCACAATACAAGTTATCGAGATGCTTACGTCTTTGCAAGGAGAGGCAGTAGTCGCCGTTGATGACTTGGATAATCAAGCAACAAGATTTCAGGCCCATTTGGTGTAATAGAGAATGCCCGCCTTGATAATGCATACCTTATAGCTATTGATAAGCCAATCTAAAAGGAGAAGAATGTTAATTTCCATTAGTTCATTTAGTTTCTCAGGATTACCTGCTTCCCTGGCCCAAGAATTATATACAACTGCAAAAGTTTTGCAACTGAAGGGAGACCAGATTTAAAATCCATTATTACCTTTGATATGTGCACTGCTGATGATGCTATATTTACACGACCAGATGTTAAAGGGGCCATGAAAGCTGCAAATCTCTGAAAATAACACAAATATATAAGAGTTTAGAAAGTCATCTTATCAGATAAATTAAGCTAGAAGAAGATAACAATATGCCATCTATCAGTAAGGTAATTACCTGATCTGGGTCTTTGATTGCACTAAGATATTCTCCATCAGGTGAAACATCAGCAACTGAATTCAACAAATTCTCCCTAGGAATTCGGACATTGTCAAACCTGAAAAAATTCCAAAACTTTTGAGTTACATCTTAACTATAGAGAACATAATTTTTTAAGGTCATTCAAACATAAAGCAGAGCAGTTCAGCTACAAAAGTCTTATAACTCTTACCAAATTCGACCATTATCAACACCATTCAACCCAATTTTATGACCACAATCAGCTATCCGGATATTATGACAGATTTTACCATCTGCATCCCTGATCTGGCAAATGAATGCATGAACCCCTTGATTTTTCCCATTAATTTCAAGCTGCGAAAAGACCACCGTATGAGTTGCATGCTAAAAAGGCAAAACAACAAAAACTATGTAAACACAGATGCTGCAAGTACAATTTCTACCGATGGCATGGGAATCAAACTGAACAACAAAAAGTGACTACCAAATCTTAAAGAAAGAAAAATTTCTTACATTGGCTGCTCCACCAATCCAATATTTTTGAGCTGACTCACAAGGAGTGTTTATAACAAACTCTCCAGTGTTTGAATCATAAGTGGTAACTGTTTCAATTCCTTTAACCTAAAAATAACAAACCCAACACAAAGTTCAAAAATTAAAAACATAGAAAGATTCCACAAATCAATTAACAACCTTGACATACATACATTACTTCCATGTCCCAACTCCGTCATTGCAAAGCAACCTTTTACCACATAATTCTCAGTGTCTTTCAGCCACTTGTCATGGTGTCGCTTCGTCCCCAAAAACTTTATGGCCCCACCCCTGCATTCAAAATCCAATTTTTGTTTTTTTTAATAAAAAAATTACGCTTGTAAGAATTAATCGTATTACAAAATACAAAATTTAATTACCACAATGAGAAGTGAACACCCATCTTGACGCTGAGCGAGTGGTCGAACATTTCAATAACTTCAGCTTGAGCTATTTTTCTCAAAGCAGCTTCGATTCCTTTGCCGGTAAGCCAGCCTTGAAAAACCCCTCTTTCAAACAAGTAGGCAATTCTCTTCATGGTCATCTCTCGTTGCTGCTCCATCGTCTGATTATAATCAGGCGATACAAACACTTTCTCTCCCACTTGCCTGGGATTGAACAGTTTGCTTTGTATGACCAGATTGTACAACCAGTCTCGGTCTTCCAAGTTGTGACCATCCAGCAGTTTCCGCATTTCTTTGATGTCAAAATGTGAAACTTCAGTGAGTTCTGGGGGAGAGCAGCTTAAGCAGGCGTTTGCGGAAATAATATGAGGAGAATTTGATTGCAAGAGATGATCGCTGATGATTTTGGTTCGTTGAAAAGCTCTATCCATTGTTTTTGCGAGATGAAATGTGAACGGAAATTACGCAAGTTTGATCAAACTTTCAAAGGGATTTCTTTGTGAACGAAGGAGTTGTTTTGATTTTAAGCGCGCAGGGGAACGTGGGACTTGGGAGGTCAAACCACGTGGTAGTTAGATAAATACAGTTGGCCGCTATTAAAGGCCGTGTTTGGTGACTGTGCACTGAATTCTTATACCAAATTACATGTCACGTGGCTCAGATCGACTACGTATCACATTAACAAATATTTTACGAGTGAACGGCCGTTTATCAACTATAGACGATTGCTCACTGTTATTGGATGAAAGTCTATTATATATAAACATCCGTCCACGCGAAATGAACGATGGACTGCCGTCCATATTATATGGACAGGAGTCCATTTACTATGGACTGGTGTCCACCTATAATGGATGCTCGTCCATAGTTTTATTAATTGTTTGTGGGTTAGCCTCCACGTTACCGCGATTCAGTGCAGGCCATAACCCTAGGCTTGCCCCTTTTCCTCTACAACTACTCCACCCACCAACTCCATAGAGTTTTTGAGGTTTGTTTCTTGTCTCTCCTATTTTAGTTTATTTACAAATATTATGATTTCAGTAACTATTGAAAGATCTGTGTTATGTCTAGAAAAGTAGGGCTGATGCAGAGCCCTGTCAGGGTAAGCGGTCAGAGCTTAGGTAAGTCCTGTAGCCGTTCAGAAACAGCCACGTCGCACGCTGACGCAAGCGGCATGCTCCTGCCAGTGCAATAGGTGTGCGTCAAGCAGGTGAAAGGCTGGAGAAGATCCATGTGTCCAATCCTTGCAAACGTCGAGTAAATCACTCGAGCAGGTGAACAACGAGACGCAAGGAAGGATTTGCATAGCAATCTGACCCACTCCCTGATTTAGTAATCATTACCTCAATTCATCCCACTATAAATAGAGGGTTCCTCTCCCGTTTGTGGGATTAGCTAATTTCTCTCTCTCTCTCTCTCTCTCTCTCTCTCTCTCTCTCTTGCAACCTCTCGTAAGTCAGCTCGCTGAACGCGACCTGACCTCAAATATATTAAGACGATACCAGTGGACGTAGGATTCGCTTATTTAAGCATCCGAACCGCTTTAAAGACTATTCTTCTTCTTCTATTCAGTTCAATACCCCCGTACACGTATGTCTTCTAAGTCAGCTCAATATTTCCCACGTGCGTTTAGTTGGTGTCAAAATCCAGCATCAACAATTTGGCATTAGAAGGAGGTTCTGATTTAATATTCATCCTTCATCAAGAGAATCTCTAACTAATCGGTCTAACAACAAATGGCTCGCCGATTCGAATCTGAGCGACCTAATCATGGTGAGGAAGAGATCCCCCAGGTATAAGAGGACACTTCATCCGAAGTGCCCCCAGTCTCGCAAAATCTCGTAGGGGATATCCCTTCAAGCTCACGGCTTGATCCAGTCGTCATGAGCTACCTGGAGAGGTTCAACAATACTTTCCAAACGGTCAACCAAAGGCTGGACTACTTAGATCGGGTCGCACCACCCGAATCAAATGAGACAGTGTAATTGCCAAAAACGTCTGCAGGTCACATGAAAGAGCGGAAAAGGGCAATAGGCCGTGCCGCGCACACTGCAGCGCGTCAAAGGAAGGGAAAATATGTGGCGAACAACGGGCCTAGATGCTCCGAGGGACCAGCAAACACCGACCACACCCCGGGTAGAATACCCGTGGCACACCGACTCGATGACAAGTCGCGACCCGAGCTGTCCCGAACCACATTGCGCGAGCACTCCCACAAAAGTGCAAGGCGGGGAGATTCGCACTATCGCCAAAATGACGACTCCGATCGTCGTCGTGCGGAAGTTCCTACCGTCCGCGGGTCGGTTCGTACCACCGTAAAGGTCGAGAAGGTTCCCCAGACCATTCAGCGCCATTGCACGACTCTAGCCAGCGTGTGTCAAGAGTAGCCGGAACTGCCAGCCGAAGCGAGGAGGAATCCGACCTTCGAACTTTTCTCAACCGCAATCGCGAAGGTCGAACCCGACTGGGGGAAAGTAATCCCCAAATGGCTCCGTTGCCTCAGATTAAGGAGCTACAGCGAGCTCTAGATCAGCTAAAAGCTCAGCAAAATGAGCGAGGGTAGGTCGTAGAGGCGTCTCCCTTTTCTCCAGCTGTGTTAGCCGCCCCTCTCCCATCCAGATTCAGAATGCCCGATATGCGGGCGTTCGATGGGAACTCTAATCCATAGGATCATTTGTAAGAATTTAACGACCTGATGGAACTTGGACCTGATGGAACTTCACCAAGTTTCTAATTTGGCAAAATGTCGTTGCTTTGCAATAACTCTAACTTCTCATGCCAAGCGATGGTTCAGGTCGCTCCTAGCGAGATCGATCAGCTCATGGAATCAGTTGAGCTCGACATTCTTGAGACACTTCCAAACGAATATGAAGTTCTCAATGCCTTTGAGCTACCTCAGTAACATAAGCAAGAGAGGGATGAATCCCTCCAATCTTACATCGACAGATTCCACAGGGAGCTCCATAAAGTGGCTCATACTCCCGAAGAGTCCGTTCGGACTCTCATCATCGCGGGAGTTCATCCACAAACAGATCTGTGGAAGGAGCTGCAATCAGAGGACGATGTTTCTCTCATCTGCTTCTACAGCCTTACGGAGAAATACCTCTGTATTGACAACCACCACGACCTCGGTCCTTATGGCAATACGCCAGGTTGGGGGTGAAAATATGAGGGTTGATCGCCGATGGGCTAACGATGATCAACAAAAAGGAAAGAAACAGCGGTTTGAGCCCAAGAAGTCTTATGCTCCAGTTCCTCGTCGCAATCGAGACAGGAATCAACATACCCCTTTTAATGCATTTGTCTCTGCCATTCTTGATAAGTCTGAAGAGGCCGGCCTGCTCGGAGAACCTGAGCGCATGAAAAATCCCCCTTCAGCTTGAAACAGTAAAAAGTATTGTCGTTATCATCGAGACAGTAGGCATCACACCGATGAGTGTCGAGCTCTCAAGCAGACAATCGAAGACCTTATCAAGCAGGGGCATTTCAAAGAGTATGTTGATGACTCTGCTCCCGTAAGGGAGAAAAATCAAGAGGAACTAGGCAAGAAGCATTGTGATCGCAAGGGTATCTGTAGCATGGGGATAATCTTTGGGGGACCACACCTCAGGGGAAACTCGCGAGGGGCCCAAGAAAGATATGCTCACGCAGCCCATCACGACCCTATTCGTGTGATGAACACGACACAGCGACCATCAAAGGTTCGCAGAGAGGAGGAAATCACCTTCTCCGAAAAAGACGCAGTTTGATTGCATCATCCCCATGATGATGCTCTCGTCATCACGCCCCAAATAGGGCGCTGCGACGTCCACATAATGTTGGTGGATAATGGAAGTGCTGTGAACATCATGTTCCAGCGAGCTTTCGAAAGAATGAAATTGGATGAGGCCGACCTGAAGCCTGCCTCTATCCCCCTATATGGTTTTACAAGGGATCACCTGATCTCCAAGGGAATGATCTCGCTTCTAGTCACGCTGGGTGACTTTGACGAGGTGACCAAGGTCACTGAATTTTTGGTAGTGGACTGCCCCTCCGCTTTCAATGGCCTCCTAGGGCGACCTCTACTAAGAAGCTTCAAGGCAGTCACTTCAATCTACCATCTCAAGATGAGGTTCCCTACCTCGACGGGGATAGGGGAAGTAAGCGGATCTCAGTACGTATCTCGCGACTGCTATGTAAGGGCAGTGCAGATGGCGTGTAAAGGGAAAGGCATCCCCCGTGGCATTCCCGAACAGGCAATGGCGATTAGTCAGATCGAACCACAGCCTGGCCCAACCAAGGATAATATGGATCCCTGTATCCAGGAATACCCTTCCACTGGGCCAGTTGAGGATCTATTGGAAGTGTCAGTAGACCAAAACGAGCCGAGTCAAATGTTGAGGATTTGAAGCAATCTCGACCCTTAGCTCGCTACTGATCTGACTAGCTTCCTCAGAGAAAATATTGATGTGTTCGCATGGACGCATGCCGATATGGTCGGGATCAGCCCGAACATCATTTGCCATGCCTTGAACATCGATAGTGAAGCCAGGCTAGTCCGCTAGAAAAGAAGAGCGATGGATCTAGAGCGATATGCTGCCTTGAAAATTGAGGTAGATAATCTCCTTCAGAATGGGCCCATCCAGGAAGCACTCTACCCGACCTAGGCTGCCAACCCAGTTATAGTAAAGAAGCCCAACGGCAAGTGACGGACCTGTGTTGACTTCACCGACCTCAACAAAGCCTGCCCAAAAGATAGCTTTCTCCTACCTAGGATCGACCAGCTCGTTGATGCCACCTCCGGGCACGAGTTGTTGAGTTTTATGGACACATACCTAGGATACAATCAAATTCTGATGTATGCGCCGGACGAAGAGCATACCTCATTTGTTATCGATCGGGGGCTGTATTGTTATAGGGTCATACCCTTCAGCCTAAAAAACGCTAGAGCAACTTACCAGCGGCTGGTTAACTGAAAGTTTTCCAAGCAGATCGGAAAGTCGATGGAAGTCTATGTTGATGACATGCTAGTCAAGTCGCATGTCGCTTAAGATCACATAGCGCATCTCGCTGAGATGTTCGACATCCTTCGGAAGTACAGAATGAAGCTCAATCCTTTCAAATGCTCATTCGGAGTATCCTCAGGAAAATTTCTGGGTTACATGGTTAACTAGAAGGGAATAGAGATCAACCTCGAGAAAATCCAAGCTCTCTTGGCATGAAAAGCCTGACCAACCGAAAACAGGTTCAAAGTCTCAATGGGCGAATATCGGCACTTAGTCGCTTCATATCGAGGGCAACAAATCGTTGCTTGCCATTCTTCAATATACTCAGGGCCAATAAGAAGTTCGAGTGGACTCCCGAGTGCGAACAGGCATTTCAGAGCATTAAAGAGCACCTCGGAAAACCACCTCTTCTGTCCAAGCCTCTCCCACAGGAAATTCTGCTCCTGTATTTGTCCGTCTCTCAATACGCGGTCAGTGCAGCTTTAGTTCAGGAAGAGAGCAGGGTTCAATGGCCAATTTAT